CACCTGAATGCGGTGGCCAAGAGTGCACAGGGGCTCTGGCTACAGGCCATGGCAAGAGTTAGCCCTGGCCACAAGAAAGGCCCACTCGACTCCGGAACAGCACGGCCTTGGCCAGAAGGGAGTCAAGAGTGGGCCTCCAAGGCCTGCCCGAGGGACACTCACCTGCAGGGTAGAGCTGGTCCAGCACACTGCAGAAGCAGGGAAGGGTGGATGATGGCGCAGAGCTGGGCGACCACGGGGAGGCCACAGCTGAGGTGGAGGGCACTGAAGAGGAGGGCTCGGGGGGGACAGTCCAGGCAGGTGTCCCAGTGGTCTGGCAGCCCTTGGGGGTGTGGCAGCACAGGACACGCACCTCGTAGTTGAGGCACATCCCCAAGGGCCCCTGCTGCTCCTGGTTGCGGCACACCAGGCCCGTGTGGGGCTCGCACTGCACCACCTGGCCCAGGGCCTCAATGCTGACCTCGGGGTGGTTCTCGGCTCGGCACTCCAGCCGGGTGATGTCCTCAGGTTGGAGACAGATCCTCTCTCCCTTGCTCAGGATGTTGCTGTAGGTTTCCGTGTCTCCGCCATGCGGCCCGGGGTCTGGGAAGTCCACGTCGAACCACTTGGTCCAGGTGCACTGTGGCTGGCAGTCGGTGGTCTGGGGTTGGGTGACCTTTGTGCCCACTGATGTCCCTCTACTTGTGTGCACTGGTGTTGGGTGGATAGTGTGCCCTGTCGAGGTGGCCTGACTTCCCGTGGTCACAGTGGTCTTCGTGGTGGCGCTGGTCTCCAGGGACTTGGGGTGTGTGGCGATGGATTTTGGGGTCCCTATGGTCTCGTTCCTGCAGTAGTCCACCAGCTCACAGCACTGGATCCGGATCTCATAGTTGTAGCAGATTGGCGGCAGCTGGTCCCTGTTCCAGCAGATCAGCCCTTCCTCAGAGTTGCAGGTCACCTGCTGTCCCAGCTCTGCCAGGGGCGTGTTGGGGAAGAACTGAGCCCTGCACTCCACACTTGTGGGCCTTTCACAGAACTTATACCCTTTGGATCTCAGGTTGTGAAAAGTGTCAAAATCTCCACTGTCTCTTCCAGGCCTGGGGTAGCTGCCATCTATCCACTGTGTCCAAGTGCAGGACTCTCGTAAGCAGCTCACCGGGCTGATTCCAGAGGTGGTCGGCACATCCGTGACCTGGGAAGTCCCCGGGGGTGATGCAGAGGCAGAGGATGTTCCTGAAGTTGTTTTTGGCCTTGGAGTTGGGTTAGACTTCAAGAAAGATGTTCTGACAGGTGTGGAGGACACCGTGGCACTGGTCGTGGGGACCGTGCCCGGGCCACTCGTGGTGACAGGAGAGGCTGTGGATGGTCCCTCCGAGGTGCTGGCCCCTGTGTTGGTTGTCCTGTGCGTGGCTGGAGGGCTGGAGGTGGGGCAGGGCAAGGGGCTGCAGCACAGGACCCTGATCTGGTAGTTGTGACACAGGCCTGATGCCTGGTCCCTGTTGTGGCAGGTCAGCCCAGCCGTCGGGCTGCACTCCAGGTGCTGACCCAGGGCCTGGAGCGGCACCTCGGGCGCGTCCTCAGCTCGACACTCCACTGCCCTCGGCACTTGGCAAACCCGGAACCCGTGGGCACGGAGGTTCTGTAGCGTGTCAAAGTCACCGCTGTCCACGCCCTGCCCGGGACGACTCACATCCAGCCAGGGGGACCACAGGCACTTCTCCCCACAGTGGGCAGAGGGCGAAACAGGGGATGTGGCAGGCGTCGTCCTGAGGGGCGTGCCCGTGGCCGTGGATGAGGCTGTGCTCACAGGGACGGAGTGCACCGTGCTCTGGGTGGGGCTGGAGCCCACACCTGTGGTCTGCCTCGAGCTGAATGCTGTGGGAAAGAAGGTTGCGGGCTGAGCAAGGGGCACACTAGGCTGGCTTCGCTGGGTCCTGGCTCTGATGACCTTGCTGTCCTGTTGGCTGCCTGGTGGGCTTCCCCACAGCAAATGGGCAAATGTTGAAATTTGAATGACCAGGGACACACAAGTGAACCTGTCTGCTCAGAACCTGCCCAACAGTGGGCAGGTGGGCATCACAGTACTTCAATAAACAAGTGGATTGACCTCAGTACAGGGCATCTGCCCCCTGGGCCTGCCCTGAGCAGAAGCCACATGCATCTGGCTGCCTTGTGCTGGAAGCTTCGAGCCGGGGCCTGAGCTCCCCAAGGAGCGGTGGATTCCAGGTCAGCCAGAGTGAAACCCTGGAGCTAGCCCCTTCCCATGGCAGGGAAGGAGGAGAGAGTGAGCCACTGCCGTGCCTGATACCCAGGCGCTGCCACTGCTGCCCAGAGCTAGGCGTGAACCTGGCCTCCAGCAAGAGAAGCCACGCCAGTCCGCTGGGAGAGCGACACCCCCCAGGACACCCAGGGCCCTCTGCCATCACCCGTTGTCCTTACTGTGTGGGGACGTGGAGAAGGAGAAGGTGGTCGGGGGCCTGGGGGTGGTGGGGCTGCAGGTGAAGACCCTCCTCTCCACGGTGCCGTTGGCCCTGCAGTGGGCGGAGATGCAGCTGCCCATGCCGTCTGTCGTGTTGTAGATGACGTCCCCCGGGTGGAAGTGCCGCCCGTCGTAGGTGCAGACGCAGGCTGTGGGAGCACAGCAGCCATCCGTGAGATGGCTGAGGCGAGGCAGAGACCCTCCCCACCAGACCCCAGACCCAGGAGGCCACGGCTGCTTACCACCACTGTCATAGGCGCAGTGCACGCCGTTCTCGGTGCAGATGCTGCGGAGAGGGAAGGAGGGCTGGGGCACGGGCGCCAGCACAGCCTGCCCTCGGCCATGCCCACTGCCAGGGGTGGAGTCCCTGCCCAGGCCTGGGACTTCAAACTTAGCTTCCCGAGGTCCCACCCTCTTGAGGACTCCCCAGTCCACACAAGTGGAAGCCGGGTGGGGGGCCAAGGAGCTGCTGGTGCTCTACCCAACCATGGCGTTGGCTGCCCACCCCTGGGTCCCTGGCAGATCATCTGGCCTCAGCTCCCCCACCACCCCGCCTGTTTGCATCCCAAGAATCCCCCGACCAACAAGCACCAACACTCAGCTTCACCCCTGAGCCTGGGGAATCCGGGGGATAGCCCCTGAGAAATGCCTGCCGTGGTCCAGAACCCGGACCCAGAGCCACCGGCCCATCACGGCAGACACCACCCCTGAGAGCTGAGGCCCCTCCCCCAGTGACCGGCCCAGGGCACCCTCTGGGTCCTGCAGGCACGAGTCCCGGGGGCTGCTGGTTATGGGCCTGAATCCCCCACGTGCTCTAGGCTCTGGGGCCTCCTGCCAAGGGACTCACCAAGAGTAGCAGTTCTTGTCCGAGGGCACGGTGGCCCCGGGCCGGTAGGACTTCCCGTGGATGCGGCAGGGTGGGGGGGGTGTTGGGGTTGAGCACTTGTCCACACACTGCATCTTGTCCTCATCGAAGATGGGAGCCGACGGGGGGCATTTGGGGTAGCAGCCTGTGGGACAGAGAGGACTGAGTCCCAGCCACGTGGGCCAGCTGGCCACCCCACCCCAGGACTGTCCCCAGCCCTCAGCCTTATCCACGACACCACCGTGCACCAGAGGCTGAGGCCACGGGCTCCTCGTGGGGTCAGGAGAGCGCAGCCCCGCGAGCTGCCCAGGCCTTGGGAGCAGAGCCTCAGGCCTCTCCCCCCCCCCAGGCCCGTCCCCTGCCCACCTTCGAGGCCCCGCAGATCATGGAGGCAGCGCCCACTGGGGTTCCGGCAGGTGCGCATGCAGGGCGCCCCGCAGGGCTGGAAGTGCCACTCACACTCCCCCTGGGGGTTGTAGTAGTCGCAGAACAGCGCTGGGGGGGCAAGGAGGGTGGTCAGAGCTGCCTGCACCTGGGGCCTTCTAAACAGACCAGGGCGGGCCAGACCAGGGGAGGCGCCAGGGCAGGGTCTCCAGCCAGAGCAGCCCAGCTGGGCCCTCGTCCCCAGGGCTTCTCTGGGCCAGCGGAAGCTCTGCTGAGCGCTCCACCCGAGGGCGCCCGTCCACCCCTTCCCTCCTCCTTGGAGGCCTTCTTACTCCTCCAGGGACAATGCATGCAGCCAGGCACACGGTGCTGAGCACTGCCACCTCGGGCCCTGGAGCCCCTGGCCCGTGTACTCACGGCAGACGTCCGGCGTCCTCCAGGACACGCACACACCGGCTTCATGGCAGGCCTGGGCATAGGCGGCCACAGCAGTGCAGAAGCACTCACAGTCTCCCCCCGAGTCGCAGGCACACGCGTCACCCACGCAGGCCTCGTAGTACATGGTCGGCTCCACCTGAGGGAGACGGGCCTCAGACTCCCGGGAGCCACTGGGCTTTTGGAGGATCTGGCCTGTGGCCACTGACCTGGGCCAGTTTCCACTGGAGCTCAAGAGAGCAAACGCATGGCCTACAGTGGTTTCCCGGCACTGCCTTTGTGCCCACAGGCCAGCTCCCACCTGGCCCACAGGCTCCTGCCCGCCTGGGGCTTCTGGGGCAGTGCTCAGAGCAACACCCCACAGAACTCAGGCCACGGCTGCTAGGAGCAGTGCACCAGCCCGGCCACTGTGGCATGTCCACATGGGCCCCCGAGCCCCAGCTCTCTGCGCTCTTAGCTGATGCTGCCCTCCCCCTCTTGTCCCCTCTGCCTCCTGGGACCATTGCCCGTGGTCCCTTCTCAGCCCAGAGACCCCCCTGCCCTGCCTGGCTGGCCATACATGGGCATGGCAGGTGGCGAAGGTGGCACTGTGGATGATGCTGCACTGCTTCTGAGCCCAGGCCTTGCGGTAAGGGTTGGTGGTGCAGGGGTCCTTGGGCACCGGGGCGTCCGGGCAGGACGGGGAGAGCTTCCAGCTGTTTCCAAACTCCAGCGCGTCACCCACCACGGCCTGGCTCCGCGTGGTGAAGTCATTGAGGGCATTGCCGTCGAAGTTCCCACACAGGCCGCAGACCCTGCCCTGCAGAAGCACAGGGAGAAGAGACCCTGGGCACAGCCCCTTCCTCAGCCCACCGCCACCTGAGCATCCAGCAGGATGGACCTCCGAAGGGGAGGGTTGCGAGGTTTGCAGGGTGGCCTCAGGGCCCTGCTCACACCCTGCTGCCCACACAGCGCCAGAGACTGCGAACTTTCCAGGGGCCACCACGGCCTGCCCTCCCTCCAGCCTCCTGCCTGTGCTGGGGCCATAGCAGCCAGCCTGGTGTGTCCTGTAGTGGGCTGGGCAGTGGCTCTGACTCAGTCCTGGGGCTGGACCGAGACTGAGTGGAAAGAGGACCTTTCCAGATGTGGTAGGTTGAGGTCACACTGGGGTAGAATGGGCCCTCAATCCAATGTCCGCTGTCCTTATGCAAGGGAGGATGTGGACACAGACACACAGGGAGGGCCCACATGGTGACAGAGGATGGGGAGTGGCCCAGCCACCTGACAAGGACGCCCTGCCCAAAGCTGCGACAGAAAGGTCTCTCCTGGGAGCTCAGCCTGCACCTGGCTTGGACTCCCAGTGTCCAGACTGAGGGCATCTGCAGCCTGCCCTCCCCTGGGCTGGGACGCTGCAGGACTCACACACCAGGGCTCCCTCCTCGCTGCTGCCCGGAGGCTCAGCCCCGGCATCTGCTCTCAGACCCCATCTCTCCCTCTCTGGCTGACTCTGTCCCTCTGCCCCTCCGGTATGTCCCATGGCCCCCAGCAGGGGCCTCCTCTGGGCCTCACCTTGAACTCGGGGCTGAGTCTCAGGAAGATGCTGGTCCTCCTGTCCCACAGCAGCACCAGGCCTGCGTCGGTGTCCACCACCAGGTAGATGCCCATCTGGCGGATCGTGTAGGGCGGCTCCTGGCCTGCGCCCTTCTGGACCACCTCCACCTTCCCACTGCTCAGCTTTAGCTCATAGCTCTGTGAGGCAAGGCGTCCCTTAGGTCCGGGGGACCCTGCCCTCTAGGTGCTCTGTGCCACCATGGAGCCCCCAGAGTGCCCCACCCAGCTGTGCCCCTCACTCACCCCCAGGAAGATCTTAATGTCCTTGGAGCAGGTGGTCCCCGTGGTACCACAGGGGACGTTCTCGGTGACCACACGGAAGGCGTCCTTGGCGCTGCCATTACCGCCGCAGTGGTCCTGGGGAGAGGAGGCTGTCAGGGCGGGGCTCGGGTGGGCCTGCAGCCCCCAGGGCAGCTGCCCCACAGGGCTGGGCGTGGCTATGGACAGAGGCGGCAGACCACCTACCTGCACCAGCGTGTACTGGCAGTCCCCACTGAAGGTGTAGCGCTGGCCGTCGAAGGTGAGGAAGTGGCCATCCCCGTACAGGGCACAGGTGGCCAGGCAGGGCTCTTCTGTGCACCGCCACATTCTGTTCTCACAGGTGCTGCAGAGGACGAGGGGTCAGGTCAGGGTTCTTCCAGGGGCTCTGTGGGGACCCTCGGTGCTTCCTGGCAGCCACCCCTCCCCAAGAGGAAGGACCCAGCAGACCAACAGATGCCCAGAGGGTCTCGTGGCCTGGGCCACCCAGAGTCCCCCTGAGAACCTGGGCCATGTGTGTCAGCCCGGGGCCTTGCCAGGGCTTCCTCGGCTTCTGACAAGGCCCGTCCCCTGGGGCGCTGAGCCACATACCAGGTGTTGCAGCCTGCCCAGATGGTCTCCCCCGGCCTGTAGCTGGCCCCGTTGTGCATGCAGGGGCAGTCCTCAGCGGCAATGCAGCCCCCACTCCCGTCGGCCACCAGCCCTGGGGGGCACACGCAGCCCGGCTCACACTGGGGGCTGTACTGTAGGGCACATGGACACAGTGAGTGGTGGGGACAGCTGCCTGGACCTGCATCGTCCTCCACGGGGCCAAGGGTAGGCGAGCCCAGTCAGCAGGCAGGGGTCCTCCAGGGACCCGGTCCAGCGGTTGGCCCGGCTTGGCCACCCCCTCCCCCAGGAGCATCTCTGAGGGACCCTGGCAGGAGGGGTCGTGGGGGACCCTGGCTACCATCAGGGAGACTGTTGGGGCCACCAGTCACTCACACAGGCCATGTCCAGGGTATGACAGCTCTTCTGGCAGCCAGCTCCGGTGGCCCCATGTGTGGCATTGTGGCAGTCGACGTAGACCATGGGTGCGTCACACACTGGGGAAAAGGGGGGTGCAGGGGACCCTAAGTCCCTCCAGCCAGGCTCCGTGCACATGGTCCCCAGGGGCGGAGGAGCCTGCCTGGGCAGGGGGTGGGAGTGTGGAGTGCCACACTGGTGTGTGTCACTCCGCTGACCTGGGGCAGAGCCCAGGGCTCAGACGGTGCTAGACACAGAGGCCAGTCAGCTGCCGCTGCCCCCTAGCTTGGAGGGGGACAAAGAAGCCATTCAGGGCTTCCCCTGGAGAGGACGGGCCTGGGGACAGCCATGCCCCTCTCCGAGCTCACCTTGGGTGGGCGCTGGGCCCCCGATGCAGGTCAGCGTCCCCTGTGTGCAGGTGCTGTGAGGAGGGGATGGTCAGCAGGTGTGTTCTGGCCAGTGAGCCCCTGTCCCATACCCCTGCGGCACATCTCACCAGACGGCCCCGCTGTCGTGCAGAGACTCGCCGTTGGGGACCATGGAGCCCCTGTGGTAGCAGGGGCAGCTGGCAGCCGGCACACACTTGTCCGAGGCGTCCAGGAACATGCCCTCTGGGCAGGCGCAGCCATCCACAGGGACAAAGCTGACATGGCAGGTGACGTCCTCCTCACTCAGGGCACGGCAGGTGGGCTGGCAGGTGCTGATGTGGTAGTGGTAGGTCATCGACTTGGGGCAGGTGGTTGTGGGCTTTGCTGCAGGAAGCCAGGAAGAGGGGACACTCAGGATGCTGATGGGCACAGCCAGGTGGGCAGCAGTGGGTAGTCAGGGACCCAGGCCTCCTGGACAGAGCCCCAGACTGTGATGGCCGTGGGCAGAGGACGGGCCTTGGGGGGGGGGCTCTGAGGCCTGGCGAGGGGGGGGGCCCGCTTGCCCGGCACTCACTGCAGACGCCGGCCCTCCAGCCACGCAGCAGCACGCCCTTGGTGGCACAGGCCTGCACGTAGGAGGACAGGGCCGCGCACATGCAGTCCTCGCTCTTCTCGCAGTTGCACGTGTCGAACATGCAGTTCTGGGGGCCAGAGACATCAGGGTCAGGGGCTCAGCACACATGTGGCCAATGTCCCCCACCCTGCCAGCCCCTGTCTGGGCCCCCATCTTGGCCTCCTGGGACGCTTCCCTGGGTCCTCCCTCACACCCCACATGCAGCTGAGCAGAGCCCCATGCAGGGCTGGCCACCCCATGGGGCTGGGGCTCCAGCAAGACCTTGGCCCTTTATCTCTGTGGCCCAGGGGTCCAGCCCCTGCCACGACTGATTCCCTGCTTGGGTCAGCTCCTGCGTCCAGTACAGGGCTGGAGTCCCAGGCAGGCCCAGTGCATGAGTCAGGGGGAGCCCAGGGACCGGCTTGGTCCTGGAACCCACCCTGGGGCCTGCTGGGCTGTTACGGTCCCGAGAAGGCTCACTGCCCAGCGCCCCTTCTCAGTGTCCCCTGACTCCCTGGGGGCGTCCCCATAGCCCAGCAGCAGGACCTTGACTGCAGGAGTGGTGGGTGGGCATTACCGAATAGTAGGTGCTGGGGCTCACGGTGGCGTGGCATTGGGCGAAGGGGCCGTCAGGGCTGGTCAGCTGTGAGCACCAGTGCTGGGCGTACTTCTCTGTGGGCGAAAGGCAGGCTGTCCATGGTCACTCCTGGGCAACCCACCCGGGGCTGCTCCTGCCCGCAGCAGATAGAGCAGGCACTCGGACACAGAAGGGCCCGTGAGGCCTGGAGGCGCCATGGCTACTGCTTCTCTCCTTTCCTGGGTCCCCAGCCCAGCCTCCCAGTGCCACCACCTTCTAGGGACGTGGGTAGCCACTACCAGGGACGGACATGACAAGACCTCTCCACCCCTTCTCTGGGTCGGGGTGGGCCACACAGGGAGAGCAAGTGAGCCAGGACCTGCTGGCTGAATGCCTGCCCGGGGCAGGGGCTGGACGGTCAGCAGCACAGGAAGACGGACGTACTCCCCTCCACCCTGCAGCCGGCCCCAGAGCTGCAGGTGAGCAGCCTGGTGGGCCCGAGGCTCCTCCGGACCTGACGACCGGCCGGTAGACACACTGGGCTCCACTCTGCCCCCGTTTCCTTCTTCCCAGACTCACCTCTCGGGTGACAGTGCACAGGATGGCCAGCTCACCACTAGCCTGAGGCGGGGACAGCTGTACCCCAGGACAGAGTCAGGAGACACCCAAACAGGTGCACCAGCCCCTGAGTGGTCCTCAGGGAGCCAGCGATGGCCACGTACCGTTCTCCACGCTGAGTGAGCAGGGGTCCTCAAAGCTGCTCTTCACATTGGGGCAGGCAGCCTGGGTCTTCCAGGTGTTGGCGAAGGCGGCACCTGTGCCCTCCACCACCCCGCTGTTGGTCCGGAAGTCATCGGCCTGGATGCTGTTGAAATTCCCGCAGAGACCTGGGGAGGAAAGTCATGTCGAGGCCCTGTGCAGGCTCAGGGACGGGGTGGGCGCGAGGACCCCGGGGTGCCACCTCTTACCACAGGTCAGCCCCCGGAGCTCAGGGGCCAGCCGCACAAACACCTGCATGGTGGGCACCAGCTGGATGGCCAGCTGCACGCCCAGGTTGGTCTGCGCGATGATGAAGAAGGTCGAGGGTCTGAAGAGGGTGACGTTGGCTGCGGACACAGCACAGGGGTTTCACTGGGAGGTGCCGGGCAGGACCCACAGGCAGCCCCAGGGCGGGAGTGGGCCAGTGCCCTCACCTGTGGACACCGGCAGCTGCGTGTAGATCTGGTTCACAAACACCTCCCCGCTGGCCTTCACCACCACAGCCTGCGGACAGCCAGCGAGTCAGCGGGGGCCTGGGCGGCCTCCACCACCGCCCCCTGGTCCCTGCAGAGGCTGCGGAGTGCGCCTAGAGCCCACAGGGCGGCGACCCTGAGCTCTGCCCCTGACTCGCTCTGAGTCTGACCTTTCCGAGGGTCACACGTGCTTTTAGCCACGTAAAAACCAGACAGTGTCAGTCCAGCAGAGACCTTGCTGGCCAGGGGTGTGTCCCTCCTTCCTGGGGCTGGGTGGGGCTGGCACTGAGCTGCTCCACTTAGGGACGGTCCCTCAGAGGACCTACGAGCAGGACACGGCTGGCCGGGGCAGAGGGTCCACTTGCTGTGGCCAGATCCAGGGCTTGGCGGAGAAGCCTGGCAGCGGGGGTCGCGCCCCGTCCTGCCCGTGGGCGACACTCACCGTTGGGCCCCCGCCCAGGCGCAGCTCCACGCCCTTCAGGCAGGTCTCGCTCTCGGTCAGACCGCACCTGCGCAGCTCGGCCAGCACCGTGAAGGCATCGTCGTTGCAGGGCTGTGGGGAGCAACGTGGCGCTCACCTCTTCGGCCTCGCCCCTGTCCTCCAGCCCACACTGCCCCTTGCTAGAAGGCCCCGAGGGCACAGCCAGGCACCCAGGGAGGAAACTGTTCACCGTCTGAGGGAAAGCACTGCCTCCACACAGGTCCTGGGGGAGGCCGTGGGGGGCTGGGGGGGCTGGGGAGGCCCTGCGGGAGGCAGACCAGGGGTCCCAGGGGCCGGCAGAGGGACAGGGAGCAGACATCCGGGGCAGCGGCTGCCCACCACACTGCCATGGTGGATGCAGGACGCCAGGCCTCGTCCACCCCACAGATGCACCTCGCCAGAGAGCCTGCCGGAGGCCACGACACAGGGACCAGGGCACGTGGGTTTTGCTCTTCAGTGGTGGCCAACACCACGTTGACCCAAGATGATAAGAGGGCGAGCTGGGCGGGGAGGTGGGCAGCTGGGGTTCAATGCACTTTCTGCCCGACCAACAAATGACCCCCAAACTGCTCTAAAAATAAAGCCACTGGAAACCCAAATGCAAGGTCAGAGGGGTCAGGGCACTGGACAGGGGACACTACACTCCAACCAGCATCCAAGTGACCCAGGCACTCCCTCATGGTCTCCCCTGGTGAAGCCCGGGCTGGGGGGGGGGCCAGGGAGGCTGGCCGTCCCAGGTGCCCAGGGCTGTACCTTGGTCAGCACGTAGCTGCAGTCCCCATGCACTGTGTACTGCTTCTCGTCAAACGTGGACAGGTGGGAGCCGCCCAGCACAGAGCAGGTGCCCTGGCACGGCACCTCCTGGCAGCTCCAGCGGCCTCCGGAGCAGGTGCTAGGAGCAGAGGAGAAGGAGCACAGTGTGTGCTGCCCAGGGCACCAGGCCTGCCGCACCCCTCCAGACGGGGCTTCCGGCAGGCTGCGAGGCCACAGCAGACCTGCAACCTAGGCCTAGCCCTGAGCTCCCAGAGGAACTGGCCCTCGGCAGGCTGGGGACAGGGAGGGACCTACCACTGGGTGCAGTCTGTAGAGTAGTTGGCCCCTGGGGCATAGGAGGTCCCATTGTACAGGCAGGAACACTGAGACATGGGGACACAGCCAGTCTGGCCGATGTCATCAAACACCGTCCCTGCAGGAAGCAGGTCAGCTGTGACACAGGTACCCCCAGGGCCCAGCCAACCTGAGGCCCAGGGGCACCCCCAGCAGGGTCTGAGGGGTCTTTTTTCTATGTTCCAGCCATAGCCATCTGGCACCCAGAAGGCATCTGTGTTTGGGGGGGGTCCTGTGCCTGGGTTGGCAGGGGTGGGCCCCCAACTGACCCTCAGGGCAGAAGCAGCCGGCCACACAGTGGTCCTCGCAGAGCTGGGAGCGCTGGGGGTTGGAGCAGGTGTCGGTGCAGGGGGAGCCACACTCCTGGTGCTGCATGTTCAGGGGGCACGTCTGGTCTGCAGGGCCACCGGACAGGTCGTCACACCCAGCTCCTTTCCCTCAGGACAGCGTGGTGGGAATGGGCACTGGGGGTAGGGCAGGGCTGGGCACTCACAGCAGAGGTCGGGGCCCCTCCAGTCCTGGGGCAGGCCCCCTGCGTGGGCGCACTGCCGTGAGTACTCGGCCAGCGTGTGGCAGATGCAGCTGGGCAGGTCGGCCTGCTCACAGAGACACAGGTCCTGCCGACAGGCCTCCACGTAGCTGCTGACGTCCACCAGGGCCGCACAGCCCGAGAACAGCTGGCCTCGCAGGAGCTCCTCGCAGATGCCCTGGGGCCAGGCAGGAGTCCAGGCTCGGGGACGCCCTGCGAGATCGCAGGACCACCCACAGCCCCTCCCCCCACCTCTGCCCTGCACTCTGAGGCTTACGGAGCCGGTGGAGCAGTTCTGGGGTGCAGGGTCGGGGTCCTGGCACTGTTCCGTGGGCCCGTCCATCTTCTGCAGGTTCCCAAACTCGATGGGGGTCAGCCTGACATCTGTAGGAAGCAGGGAGCTGGCTCTTCCTGCAGGCCCCAGACCCTGCAGCCCAGCACCCAGGCCATGAAGTCCCAGGGGCCAGAGCCCCCAGGTGGGCTTCCCCCTCCTGCCCACCCTGGGACACTCGGGGGGTCTTGAAATGACTCAAGGAAGCAGCAGGAACCTGGAGACTGTCCCTGCCGCTGGGCTGGGCTGCGCCAGGGGCTGAAAGTGAGCCTGCGCGTCCCTGGCCAGCCCTGCGCAGGGCCTCGCTGGCCAGGGGCAGCTGGAGGCTTGGGCAGGCTCCATGCCCCTGACTGGACACCCTTCTGGGGGTGGGCCTGGCAGCTGGGGGACGGTCAGGGAGGCTGGCTGTGCAGCCACAGTTGGAACGCCACTTCTCGTGGCCACGACGCGAGCATTGAGGAAGCAGGTGCGAATTTCCAGGGAGGCTGCGGGTCCTGGGCCCCTGTCCAGGGCAGCAGCACGGAGGACAGGGTCCTGACTGGCTCTCAGCTTCCCACACGCACCCCTGAGGCAGGCAGACGCCAGGACTGAGTGGGCACGTGTGTCTGCGCACGTGTGTGTAGGGTGTGTGCTAGAACCGTGCCCGTGAGCAGGTCTGCATGTGCACACGCCTGTGCACAGGTGTGAGAGTATGTTGGCAGGGGCTGTGGGACTCTGGGAGACCGGGCCTTCCGGGGAGCTGAGGAGGGGACAGGTGGCCTCGAGGAGCCTCACCGTGGGAAAAGAACTCGCTGAACACAGGGATACCGTTGAAGTCCCCACAGAGCCCACAGGTCTGGTTGGCGAACTTGCTGTCCAACTCTAGCTGGAATGGGAGGAGCCATCAGAGCCAGTCCCAGGACAGGAGGGACCAATCCCCAGGGAGACACAAGCATGAGGCCCACCCAGGAGCTGCAGGCAGCGCGGCCCCGAGCAGGGCTCCTCTGTGGGAGCAGACCCCAGGGCTCTGCTGGTCCTGCCCCTCACCTCCCGTGGGGCAGGGTCTCATCCTCTTGCCCCCTTGGCCCAGGGCAGTCTCTACCCTCTGGACAGCTGACCAGGGCAGGCCAGGCCCTTGGAGGACAGGAGGTGTGCACCCCCGCGGGGAAGCCCATCCATCCCGCCTGACCAGCCTCACCCAGAGGACCACCCTGTCCTCCCAGGAGGCCTGTCCTCCCAGGAGGCCTGTCCTCCCCACCCCGCCGCCTCACCAGGAGGCTGTCATCGTCCTGGTCCCACATGAAGACGAGGCCCAGCCGAGCCGTGACCTTCAGGTTGCCGTTGCTGCGCTCCATCAGGACCCCAGACTGGCTGAAGGGCAGCTGGACCCTGTGGAGAGAGGGTGGGGCTGAGGCGCCCAGGGGCAGGGCGAGGAGGGGGTCACCGCCAGGAGGGTCCCCAGCCTTGTGAGTGACAGGAAAGAGCGCCTGGAGGCCCTGGTGTCCTGGAGGAACCGGGAAGGGCCCCGGAGGGCAGGTGGCTGTGTGCAGGGCCCAGAGAGCCTGGCCAGCACCGCTGCCTCTTCCCTCAAAGGTGACGCCCTGCCCACCCCCACCACCACCCCACAGGGTGCCACCCGGGGCTCAGACTCACGGGTGGCCATTGACCAGGACGGAGCTCTCATTCAGCTCGATGACCAGGCCATCGAGCTTCATGATGACCCTGCTCAGTGTGGTGGTGTTGGCCGCCCGGCTGCGGCGCAGCTGCACGTTGAAGTCCTCGTAGGCGGCTCCACAGTGGGCAGAGAACACGTAGTTGCACAGGCCGGGGAAGCGGAAGATGTCGCCGTCGAAGGTCTTGTAGTGGAAGTCGCCCCAGGTGCTGCACACCCGCCCGTTGTGGGCCCGGTTCAGGGCTGCGGGACAACAGCGTGGCCTTTGGAGGAGCTTGCCCTGCGCCCACTGCACCCACCAGGGATGACCCTCCACCTGCCCCCGGAGTCCCCCCTCGTGCTGCTGCCCAGGGTAAGGCATCTGGGGTCCCCTCTGCACCCAGGGAACTCTGGGAACCGGCCATGGCAGTTTGGGACAATTTTCCAATGCTTCCTCACACCCGGAATTGGGGGTTCCCTTTCCAACAAGCCCCTGCAGGTGTGAGGGAGGGGAGCCCCGCTAACCCACACCTCTTTCCCGGCCTCGGGTTTCGCTCACCTTGGACCACAGGGATGGCCCTCAGAGGCGGGGTGTCAGTCATCCTGAGGAGGGGGTCCCCTGTGGAGACAGCAGCTCATGGGATGTGCATACAGCCTCCAGGAGCCAGGGACGCCACTGCCCTGAGGAGATGGGCCAGGGCCAGCGGATCCAAGCTCTGGGCCTGTAAGCCCAGTCTGGCGCCTGCTGTTGAGACCTCCACCGAGCGCGGCACCCGGCCCACACCCAGCGTTCCCGGGCCTTCCCACCCCTCTCCGCTGCAGAGCCCCGGGATGCTGGCCCTCACGGCCCCAGGGCCCGGAACCTGCTGCTTGTGTGTGGGGTCTCTTGCTCCTGGGATGCAAAAAGGCCTGGGTCAAGGAGATTAGGAGATTAGGCACTGCTGCTCCTGGTTTGGACTATTGTGGGAAAGGCCAACAGACGGGGCTTTAACCTGAAACACCCCAAACCCCCGCTTTGAAACCTCTGGCCGCCCTCCAGAGCCAGCACCAGAGCCTGAAAGGTGTGCGGGTCGCTGCAGCAGAGTCAAACAGGGAGACACAGAGGGACCCGGCCCCCAGCCCCAGCACCCGGCTGGCCCTGTGGCGATGGAGCCAGCAGCCCCTGAGGTCCCTCAGGGCCTGAGCTTCAGGGACCCACCCCTGACCGGTACGGGCTGCGCCAGAGAGGCCAGGCAGGGACTGGCCAGGCCGTGTACACCAGCATGTCTTCCGGCCCCAAGTTCTGACGCCACAGCTGTTGTCTGCTGTAGAGCCAGCCCAAGACAAGTGGCCCCTGGGGACCCTGTGCCCACCCAGGTGGGGTCAGGGGCTCTGCAGGCAGAGGGTAGGGAACAGAGGCCAAGACTCACCGCTGTGCCCTGGAAGGGGAGAGAGGTCGGCGCTGTGCTCACGGCCGGGTTGCAGAGAGCCCTGCTGGGCCTGGCCTGCGGAAGAAGGGGCAAACCTGAGGAGCCGTGCAGACAGGTGCCTCGGGATGTGCCACCAGGCCTGCAGACGGAGGGAGGTGCGGGGTGGCCAGCGCAGAATGTTCCCTCTGCCCTGTTGGGGGCTGGACATCTCCGTCCATGTGGGCTTTGTCTGAGTCGGGCTGGCGGCTAGAGAGAGACCCCTGGGGGCGTTCCCTCTGCTGGCCCCGTTGAGCCCTTGGCCCGGGCCACCTCACCCTGGCCCTGCATCTCCAGGGACCACTCCTTCACTCCTGTCCCTTCAGTCACTGTGTGGGGTGTGGGAACAGAGCCAGCAATGCTCATCCTGGGAAGGGACTCCACTGGGAATCAGGACTAGAGATATGGCTCAGTGACCGCTTGTCACAGGAGGCCAGGGGTCGGAGGGCCAGGGTGAGCCGGTGCTTCCAGTGGCTGGATGGGCCAGGATGGCCAGGGCAGCTGGAGCAGGGCCTGCAGGGAGACTGGGTCCTCCATGGCTGCACAAATGTGCACATTATCCCAGACACTGGCCTGACGCCCCCCGAGCCAGGGTGGGGGGAGGGGCCTGGCCCACCCAGAGCCGCGCACAGGAGGGGCTTGGGCAGAGCGTGGACTCACTCCACTGAGCCCACCTCCCAGATCCTACACTGCCCCTGGGGTCCTCGGGCCAGGCTGGGGGCCCTCATCTCCCTGGTGCCCTGCTGCCCAGGGGTCCTGTGAGGTGACAATTGGCCGGCCCAGGGGAACAGACACACGGGGACAGAGAAAGAGTGGGACCCACACGTGCCGTCCCCCGGAGGCTGCCCCCTCCTCCACCAGCCAGGACGTCCTAGCTGTGCTCCACACCCCCACAGTGGGCTGCGGGAGGCCTGGCCTGGGAGGGGCCAGTGAGGCCAGGCCCCCAGCATCAGGGAGCAGTCCTAGCCCTGGAAATGTGCTGGAGGAGGCCACCGGGAGGGTCAGTGGGGCTGGGGACTCGGGTGGTGCTGGCTGCGACGGGCAGCTCCCCTGGGAGCCCCATTCACCCCTGTCCTTCCCTGCGGGCCCAGCACTCCTCCAAGGGTCCTGGGAGACTTCTGAGCCCAGGGAGAGCCACACTGAAGGAAAGGGGGTGGCCAGGAGGGGCAGGGAGCCCAGCACGTTCTCGGAGAGATGCAGGAGGCAGGAGCTGAGGCTTTGACTCTGGGGCTGCCCGGTGGAGGGGAAGGTGGGCAGGGAAGGCACCTGCCCTTCCAGGAGCCCTGTCTCTCCCACCCCTGGACATCACCCGGGGCACCGTCAGCAGAGGCCGGGACACCACAGAAGTCTCAGGACCCTGAGCCCCATGACTCTCAGGGGTGGAGGGGTGGGTGAGACGCTTCCCCTTTGGACATCACACCTACCCCAAGACATACCCCAGGCCACCCCCAGGAGCCTAGACAGGCAGGAGCCGGTGAACCAGGCCTGTGGGGTGTCCAAAGGGCAGAGAGCCGGCCCTGACCAGGCCTGAGCGGACTCTGAAAATGGGCTCCTGCTTCTCCCCTCAGAAGCTTGGCAGCCCAGAGCCCACCCGACCCACCAAGCCAGACGCTGCTGGAGGGTGGTCAAGGCCACAGGCAGGGGCGCATGGCTGGAACCCCTCATGGACACACCTAGCTAGCCCAGGACCCGGGCAAGGACTCAGCTGCCATTGCCCACCTGGGGCCGGGGCCTCCCCGGGGCTTTGGGGAGCCACCTGGGGAAGCTGGAGGTTCCAGCCTACCTGTGTGCTGGGTGCAGGCCAGGGCCCAGGCCAGGGCCCAGAGTGGGGCCAGCTTCCTCCGGCCAACAGCCATGGTGTGGAGAGTGGGGAAATGTCCCCACAGGTGGCCTCTGAGGAGTGACTCTGGTCAGCAGCAGGCTTTTATAGCCCCGGGGCTGGCTCCAGCCCCAGCCGCTTCCCGTGGGTGGGCGGGGCCAGCCTCTGGTCCCCCTCACCCAGGTAAACAGTGGGCGCTGGCTGGTCAGTAGCCGGCAGCAGGCAGACAGGGGTGTGTCTGTGGGTGGGGCCTGGCTGCCCAGGGGTCCCCCAGTCCTGCTGCGGGGAGTTCTCCCCACCTGTCTCCCCATGGGGACCTTCCCTGACCCCTTCTGTGTCTGGCCGCCTGACCCATGAGCTCCTGGTGCCTCGAGAAACCCCAGCATTTGCCCAGCTGGCCAGTGCCCCCCCAGACTGCCACAGGCCTGGCTGGGGGTCATCCTTACCCTCGCTTCCTCCTCAGGGCAGCCCCCAGCCCTACCTGCCCAAGACCCAGCTATGCCTCAGGCTCCAAGCCCCTCGCAGGCCCTGGGCAGCAGAGGGCCAGTTGCCTTCACCGGTGGCCTCTGGCTGTGAAGAGCTTGATGCCCACTAGGCTGGAGAGCTACTGATGGGCCCGAGCCGACTTGGCCTGACGGCTCTGGCTGAGAAGGTGCCATCAATCACATCATGAGCATTGCCAGACCTGGAGTAGGGCCTCGGGGGTCCCCAGACTCTCCCTGAGGCCTACAGGTTTGGGCACCAGGAGTCTTGCCCATCCTGAGGGGCTCCACACGGCCTCTGTCCCCAGCGCTCTTGGGCACATTCTGCCTGCCACCGTGTGGGTGACCCACTGCTCCTTGAGGGCTTCTCCCTGCCCTGGGGCAGAACCTGCCCAGCCTTGGGGGGGGCCAGAGTCAGTTTTTAGGCCAGCCGTTAGGAGAGTGTGGCCCAATGACTAGTCCCTAAATATCAGGGCCCTTCTCCCATGGCTTGCAAAAGGAAGGTCACTGGGACAGGGGCTGTGCCAGGCCAGTGGAATCTCACTCACCCTGGAGGGCATGAAGTCCGTGGGGCACCTGGCCAGGCAGCAGCCCTGCAAGCCCTCACCCCCGCTGAGCCCCAAGGCCACTCAGCGCTGGGCTTGGGCCTGGCTGAGCCAGGGCCCTCCCTCCAGGATCAGATAAGCGAGTGTTCCTAGAGCCCAGCGAGAAGGGCTGGGGTTGTGGCCCTGATGGAGTGGCCCCTGGAGTTACCATGGAGATAGGGAAAATGTTGGGGCCTGGGCAGGGTGGGGGCCGGGCACGTCCCACAGCATCGTGGTCATGCTGCCGTCAGGCTGCTAATCCTGCCTCCAGCCCCCGGCACAGGAAGCCAGCACCCAACCGCCCCTCTGTCCTGGCAGGCTGTGCCCGGGTGACTCAGTGGAGATTAAGCCCCAGGCCAGCCCAGATCCGGTTGGTTTCGGGCCCCATATTGGGGCAAGGAATGCCAAGTCTGGGTATCCTGCACCCCACAGAGGTGGGGGAGTGGGGGCCTGGGGACAAGGAAGCGCCACTGACCCCATACGGTGGCCCTACTTCCCTTGGGGATGAAAATAGATCTGTCCCAGGACCCCCAGGATGCCAGGTGCTCCTCATGGGCAGAGTGGTCAGCCCAGCACCCCTCAGATGTGTGAGATGAACATGACTAGCCCCAGTCCCCTCAAGCAGAGCCGCATGGTTAGGCTGCCCTTCCCACTCTGCTTCTCCATCCCCACCAGAGCAGCAAGACTCTGCTCGGGTCAGGAAAACAAGGCCCGTGGCCCGGCCCGGCCCTGGCCCTGCCCGACCCTGGCCCTGCCCGACCCTGGCCCGGCCCAACTGTCACGGGCCCAGATGAGTGGGATGGCCTCTGGTTTCAACAACTCCAGGCCCAAGTTGGGGTCCCCCCGACTGTCCCAGCTTGTCACCTTCATTTGCAGGACATGGGGTCAGCCCAGTTCTGGCCAGTAGGACCTGGGGGCCATGCCCTGTAAAATGCCCAGACTAGCCAGGCCTCAGCCTTCCTTCTCCTGCCCAGGAACGAAGGGCAAGGGGCTCTGTCTTGTGAGGCCAGGGGTGGGCAGCTCCCCACGCTCCCCACTGTGGGGCCCACAGGGCTCCGTGGGGCTGGCCTGTGGCCCTCCAGGGCGGGAGGCGATGGCCCTTGTGCCTACGTGGACCAGTCCTTCACCCTCTCTATGCCTCGGAATCCTTGGCTGTCGGACCCACTGTGCAGAGGACAAGGTCAGTGCAGCATGCTCTGAGCTATCCTGGTCCTGGACAGTGCCCAGAGGCCAGGACGCTCCTGCCTGCTGCTCCCAGGGCCGGCACCTGGCACTCCTCAGACACGCTGAACCACTCTGGCACCCACCCCTTTCCTGGTTACATGGCGGCGTGTGAAATAACGGTAGGTTTACTAACAGGCTCGTGGGACTCCCGGTCACTGATGCACGGCGCATGCCCAAGGGTCTAGGGATGGGCCCACCAGCAAGACCACCAGCAAGACCAGCACTCTGACTGCCAGGTCAGCAGTGTGCGGGGAGGACCCGGCGTCCTGTTTGATGAGACCTGTGTGAAACCTGGAGAGTGATTTCGTGAGCTCTCGAGGAGGAAGCGGGCTCCCTCCTGGCCCTGGGGAGGCCCCTTGCAGCCCAGCGGGGCAACCTGACACTTTGAGGAATTACGGCTGGTGTTGACAGAAGGGGCAGGCTCCCCAGTGGATTTTCACCAAGCCAGGAACTTCCTTGATCAGCGGACATCATCTTGAGTTTCTCCCTGCTCCGCTTAGGGGGCCAGAGAGGGCGATGGCCGCGGCGGGGCCTCCCTGCCCTGCACAGAGGGAGCTGAGACCTGGGCTGGCTGGGCGGGGTCAGCACCTCAGCACCAGGGAGGAAAGGAGCAGTGTGACTTTGGTTTTTGGTGGGGCCACTCTGATTTGAGCCCTTTCGCACGGGTTTGTTTTCTCTGAATCACTGGGCAAACAGAATTCCTCCCAAGATCTGGCCTGGGCAGCTGAAGGAAGTCCTGTCCCCCTCAGACCCATGGTTCTGGCCAAAGCACCAGCTGCCTGCGTCCATGTCCACAGCCAGGACCACATGGTCGGCTGCTGAGAGGGGCTGATGCTGGCCTTGAGCCCCGTGTCTCCCAGAGCCTGACGGGCACCCGCCCAGTCTGCCCAGGTCTCCCGCTCCCCCCACCAGCAGGCCTGGCGCTGGCTCCTGGGAACCTGGTCTTCGTCCTGCTCCTCCTGTCCCCAGGGCTCCCATACCTCAGTCCTCCAGCCCCTGACCACCTGTCACCCTCCTATGTCCCCAGCACCTTCAGAGCAGCTCCAAGTGCGTGTGTGCCTACAAATAAATTTGGGGTGGAGGGTCACAGACCCTGGGACAGATCCCCTGACCAGGTCCTCCTTGGGGACCATGGCTCAGCCAGTTTCCTCAGCCCAGACCTTTCCTCCCAACCCTGAGACCCCCAGGAGTCTCCGGTAGTGGGAGGCGCACTTGGGACCCTGCCCAAGCACCCTCCACAGCTGTTTTCCCACCCTGGGCAGGGGACCTGGAGCACCACAGGGCCACCTCAGGGTCACAGTGCACAGTCCCTCCAAATGTTCTCACTGTTGATCCCAGGCCACTGGGGCCCAGCGAGAACGTCTGACCCCTGGACAAGAGGAGTACATGCAGGGGCCAGGGCCGGCACACGGAAGGGACCGCTTCTCCAGGTGACGAGTTCAGAAGGCCCTCGTGGGTGTGCACCCACAGTAGCCAGAAGACCTGTTCACACACCCGGGTCACAGCCCATGAGCCACCAGCCAAAATGGGCAAGTAGCCCCTGTCCATTACAGGATGGACGTACACCTAGTGCAGGGCACGCCCAGGAGGAGCAGGGCTCAGCCTTCAGAGGGGATTCTGCACCTGCTGCGGGGACGGGCCCTCCTGGACACAGGCAGGCCCAGAGAGAGAAGCCCTGCGGGATTCCGCTGCTGCGGGCCCCTCGAGCGCCCAGATCCTCCGACAGAGGCAGGAGGCGGAGCAGTTTCACGGGGCAGAGCTGGGGCCTGGGGAGGTGAGGAAGCTCTGGAGGAGGCCGCCCAGCAGGGGCAGGTGCCCAGCACCCTCGGACTGGGCTTGAACGAGGTCAGGATGGGCAGTTTGGGTTTGTGGACTTGACCTGCTTTAATAAATTGGAGACGCGGTCCCACACCTGAGAGCCCGAAGGCGTCTTCTCGGGACTCTGGGGAAAGGTCCTCCGAGAGGAGGCGCTGCTCCCCGCCAGCCCTGGCGCCACGCTCCCGCCCACAGCTGGGGTCCTGCTGACCTCCTGCTCAGCCTCACCCTCCGCCCCAGACCTTCAGGGCTGATTTTCCTGGGCCTTCCTGTCCTGGGGAAGGGCTTTCTCCCCAGGGCTGGGGCCAGGCCTGGGACGCCGTGTTCTAGGGCCGTGAGTCCAGAGGCATGGGCAGCCATCCTGGATGGCACAGCCAGGTGCCCCGTGTTCACCCTCCTGGACCCCTGAGGAGCCCACAGGTAGACAAGCCCGGGTGCCCAGGATGCGGGCACCCCTGGACTCTGCCTGCCCACCTTCCTGGCTGGGGCCCAGGGGGTTGGCCAGCAGCTCAGCCCTGCACGGCAACCTCGGGCCCACCTCATGTGACCAAGCCCCCAGGGAAGTGGGGGCACCCCCCCACACCCAGAAGGACCAGGGTCAGAGACGTCAGGGCCGGCAGCCAGCAGTGGCCCTGGGGAGAAACCCTCGGGAAAGGACGGCACTGTGCCAAGCAGTGCACACTCATCACGCACAAGCTCAGAGTTGTGAAGCTGAGGGGGAGAGGCGAAGGGCACAGCAAGGACCAGGAGCTCAGCTCAGGGAGGGCAGAGGTGGACGCACTGCCCAGAGCATGGGCCACGGCCTGGGGCACAGACGCACACATAGGCACAACCACACACACAAACACACAATCACACACACGACCACGCAATCACACATGCACAACACACACAAACTCACAACTGCACACAGACACGATCATGCACAAACA